TATTTTTAAATATCATTACTTAGGAAATGCATTATACAATTTGAATAAATACTAAGAAGCAATTGAATGTTACGATAAAGCTATTTCTATTAATTCTAAACATGATAATACATGGAGTAATAAAGATAAATTATATTAAAATTCAGGTTTTGCACTAATTCTCTTCATTAACAACATGTTATTCCACAATTTTGAGAAATATGTGGAAGCTATTTCATGTTATAATGTAGCACTTTCTATTAAAATTAATCCTTTAAGATTATAACTAAAAGGTAAATAAGTCTTTTCTTTACATATAGCTGATTCACTAAAGCGGTTGAATAAAAATTTTGAAATATTTTAGATATGGAAGAAATCAGAGGCTAAAAAATTTTATGAGGCTGCTTTAGAACAAGGATTAAATGATAAAAATTACATAAAGAAAAAATTATCAAAGTTATGAAGCATTATCATATTATAAATAGAAAATCAAATATTTTTTATTCAACTTATCTTTTTCTTTTATATAGCAAGAGATATTTTTGGATATTTACCTTTTTCTAAAAACCTTCAATATAACTTTAATAAAAAATTAAAAAGTTTTAAATTATGAAATATAAAAATAAGGAAGTAAGGTCTCAAAATTAAAATAATAAATCAAAAAAAAATTGAGAAAAATAAGCCTTAAATTGAGCATGGCAGAATTTATTTTATAACCATCATAGATATTTAAAATATCTGATTTGACATACAGATAATTTTTAAATGAAATAAAATAAATACGTAGTCTTTTCCTAATAATGTGGAACTTTTGAAGAAGATATTTTAAAATTTGAAATGAATTCTTTAGAATGGACATAAGTCTAAAATATTGGGTGACATACTTTAACCAATCGCCATTTTTATTCAAACTCATATATTAAAAATAAAATATCTTTACTGAATAAGAAATGCTGACTTACTGTATTATCAATAATTTTTCATTTTTCAAATATTTCACCAATCTTTGCTATAATTACATTAAGATATTTTTTAAGGCTTATCTAAATATAAATTTAATTCTGAGACTAGCTTTCATAAAATTGATTAATAGTATTAAAAAGATTATGCTAATAAAATTTTGCAATAGTTCTTGAAATTTTATTTTATCGTTTATGAATAAATACAATTTATAATACATCTTATAATTTTATAATAAAGATCACATTGTAAATCTTAAAGTTTTTGAAAACTATTATTTCCGTGCATAAGAATCAATCCATTTTAGAGTTAAGAGTTTGCAAAAGTTAGTTAAAACAATATTAAATTTTGAGATATCTGTCTCTTAAAAATGAGGAATCTTAGACAAATGTTAAAGAATTTTTCAGATTTAAATACGGATAATAAATAATAATCTTTTTGGGGAAATTATCATGAGCTAAAAATTGAATAACAGCAAGAGGTTGGCTATATAATTAATAACTATTGAGTATTTTATATATGGTTTGACATTTTTTAATCTAGGGAAACCTTTATAAAATTTTGATAATTTATTTAATATTTTACAAATTCGGTTTTTATTGAGTAATAAATTCAATGAGATAAATTTATTTTGAAGGCTAAAAACTAAGTCAATTAAAATTAATTAAAATTTAAATTAATCATGTAATATATTTCAAACCCATTGTTATTTTTAAGCCAAAGTTGTATGACATGATGTTAAAGGCATCAAATTTTCAAAGTTATTAAATATAATTTATGATGGGCATATTAAGACTAAATATATGAATGAATGATTTATACCTTAATATTTTATTCTAATTATGAACAATATTAAAGTTATGATTGATAACTAATTAATAATTTTATAGTATTCTAAATTATTTAAAATCGTTTAATTATTTAATTTATATTAAGGATAATATTAGTAAGAATGCAGTTTAAAAATATAAGTTAGTAGGTATAAAATATATTATATATAAAATGAAAATATAATAACAGGCAAAGTTAAGATCAATTATTTGATTTTATTAATAAAACTTATAAATGTTCAATGTTAATAATAAGATTTGGTTGAAACATAATTCTCTTTGCAATTATATTTTACTCATATAGATTTTTCAATCTAATATATATATAAAAATCATCTTATCTGTGTTCTAGTAATTTTCTCGAGATAAATATAAAACAATTATATAAATCCAAATTAATCTTAGTTTGCTAGATAGATTTCCACTCTTATTTTATCAAATTAATCATCTTTATATCTATCACTTAATAAATTTTATTTGAATATGATTACTTATTATATTGAATATCATTAATAAAGAATTTCAGCCACATAGAACCAAAGTGACATAATATTCATTTTAAATAAAAATATTTGGTAATTCCTAAAATTTCCAATGATATGAGACTTTGAGTATTGCAAAATAATCTTTAGTAGATCTTCTAATGTCATTTAATGTAATTATATCCTATTACTTTATACTTTTCTGTTAAAATTCTACCATCACTTGTATCGCCTATAAACTCAAGAATGTAAATTTGAAAACTTCTGGAATTGGAATCCAAAAATTCTTCCTAATTCTCAATTATCTATTTTATCACTTTTGGATAATTAAACAAAATTTAAATTCTCTTTTATCTCTAGTATTCATCCCATTTCCAAATCCTCACTCTTATTATTTTTCTATTAATCTTGAAGTATAACAATGCAGTTTACTTCATCAAAGATCAAGTTGGTTTTTCTAGAAGAAAAGTCGAATTGAGACTTCCAATATATGTTGGGGTTTGTGTATTATTCTAGATCCATCTGGTTATACTAAGTCAAGTTATCTGCCCATGCCGAGCCTTCCCATTTATCATAAAAGTCCCATATCAAAAATTAATTTAGATAGAAATTCATTCTATAATTATTTTTTTGGCCTATAATTGTCTTTTAAGTCTTCCTATCTTTATGCAACCTTAAATTTATTGAATGAAGAAGGTGCCTCAGAGATTTCTAACTATGATATATATTATGAAATAAATATTAAACAATTATTTCTATTATTTTTCCTTCTAGTCATTTTTGAATCTCCTCATCAAATATTTTTATTCTACTATAAAATCATTATGGCAACATATCGAGGTTAAACCATAATTATATAGAGAATTTTTAGTAACAAAAGTGGTTACTCATATAGATAAATCTTCAGTTTCTAATGAGGTATTACGTGGAATATTTGTATTGTATTGATGTGTTCTTTTATTATTTAATTATGTTTGATTCAATTTAATCAATTGTACATTGGATGATCAATTAAGGGTGTAAGATTAGCATTGTTCCAATCCTTTAAAGATTAATTATATTTTGATTGATAATTCTACCATTTATTTTCACAATATATTAAACTTTGGAAATAAAAATTATGGAATAATTGAATAAAAATAATAATATCATTAGAAAGAACCTATGTGCTTTACTTGAGCATTGGTTATATCAATATCAGTCAATAACAATATAAGTAGTTTTTCCAATTCTTTTACAATCCTCATTAATCTGTTTCTAGTTGAAATATTTATTTAATAAGAATTAATTTGTATTGATACAAAAATATTCAACTAAGATAGTTCAAATAATTTATTTAATCCATCAATTTTTGTAAATGTTATTTTAAAAACTTAAATTATTTTGGAATAATTGATAAGAAATAAAAATATAGATAACAATTTGTTGAACAAACCTGATTGAATCTCTGCTAGAGGCTAATACTAATTTTCCTAAAAGACGGTTTTAATTTTTAAAGTAGCAGTGTTAAATTTTATTTATAAATTACATTAACAAATAACAATATATAAATAGTCAAAGCATCATTTGCAAAGAAGGTTGACAATAAATGCAGAATAAGATGAAAAAGAATATTATTAATTTAAAATGAAATGATATTACTAAATCAAGTTGAAACTCATCAGAATGTTATACACGATTCTGTAAGATGTTACTTTCAAATAAAGATACAGACAATTTAGATATTAATAGATTAAATAGAGTTATATAAAACTATTTATATTAAATCTTTAAAAGAAATAAAATTGTTGAAATGAATAATATTGGTATTCTAATATATTTTATAAAGAAATAGATATTTAAGAGGCAGTCTTTTGATATCTATTTTCAAAGTTAATAAGAAGGTATAAAATATTTTCAAAGTTCCTTTTTTCATTTAATTTTATTATGGGTCTTTATATATAGGATATTATAAATATCAACCTTTATAATAATTAAAATCATAGTTATTTTATTTAATAATATATTAGTTAGTTAATGATATTTTTTACAATATATAAGTTATGATTATAATTTCATATTGAAATGATCAAGATTACAGAATTTTTGCAATAATAAATAAAAACTTCTAAATCAATCATTTAATATGAAATTTTATTCATATTTCAATTTTCATTATTAAAATTTCTGTTTCAACATCATTAATTATTGATATATTTAATTATTTGAATCTCCAAATTAACTAAATGGACCCCCATCAATCTTAGAGTAAACCCAGTTTTATTTTGGATTTTAAGAATCTTTGTCATCCCAATTCTAACTATTATAAATTTCTTTCCATGTTATTTGAGATTCTCCAAAATAAATTATAAACTATGCCAGATAGAAAAATATTTTCATATTTTTTAATTATATATTATTTTCTGATTAATATTGTAAAATATTGCAATTTAATAAATGATATAATATTTAAGGTAAGATTTAAATATGTATTAATGATATTTTTCAGCTTCAAAGTGTTAATTAGATTAAATAATTATTCATCTCTTACTAATATAAAATTTATTCAAAGAAAATCTAACTCATTTTTAATTTAGAACTTCTTATGTTTGTTAAAATTTGAAGAAATAGTTTATTCTATTATATAGTCATAGTAATTCTTTTTATTATTATTAATATTTTATAATTTCTTGAAAATGTTTAATATATTCTAAAAAAGATATTATTTATTTAGATTCTAAATTACTCTTTAGAAATTGGATATATTTAAGTATCAACTCCTTTCTTATTATGAAATAATTCTCTTTAGTTTAATTAAATTAATTTCTTAACCCTTCAGTAAGCTTGCGAGTATATTGACAGGGATGCACTTCACTAAAACAGTTTTTTATATAAATTAAAAATTCTTATTTTATTTTAAAGTTTAAATTCCATTAACAATCTTTTTTTATCTCATCTAATACAAAATAAAATCTTTGTTTATTAATAGGAGAATGAATTTACATTTTTTTTCTTTAAATATGCTGCTACCCAAAAAGAATCATAATATTCACTTAATAAATATTATCAATGTCAAAAAATATATACCTAAACAATTAGATTAATATTAATTTAGATTCACATTAGTTTCACTTCAAATGAGTGCAGCTAAATATTACAATTTTATCATTTGATGTTCCATTTATTCATGAAATATCTAGAGAATCCTGTTTTTTAGTTATTTCATAATAGTAAAGCTTTTCGTTTAGAAATTTCAACTTTAAGATCTAACTATTTCAATATATATATGATATAGGTTTCAACAAGTAATTGTAGATAAAATTTTGAAGTTAATAAGCTTTTATTTATAAATTCTAATTTCAACTTCAAAAATGGATATCCTTGATATTTTCTTTTATTTGTAAAGAAATTTATGATTTTATTCAATTTTTTTTTAAAAGTGTGGATAATGTTCTGAAGCTAAGGAGAGATTGTTGGGGTTGAGAATGCAATCTTAGAGAATCTAAAATTACTACTTTAAAAATTATAGGGATATTGAAAAATAATTAAAGGGAGGAATAGGTATAACATTAAATCATCATTTATTTGATAAACCATTATTATAATATTGATCAAAATATTAGTTTTTTCTTTATTATATTTAATTTTATTTATCAGAAAACGCTTTTAAAAATTGAAAAATACTCTCTACTGCTTTTGAAAAGATATGATTAGTAAACAAAAATTCTGAAATTATTAAGATAAATTGTATTATACATAATAGAATATTTTTAGAAATATTAATTTAAATAAATAATCTTTATTCATTTAACAAGGAAAAAATTATAAGAAAGTTGAAAAATTTAGAAAGAAGTCAGAATTAATATATTTTAAGATCTGAGATAAATCAAACAGGATTTAGAGATGAAATAAGAAATTTTGAAGATAATATAATAGTTTGGAATTACTCTTGTTCAAGATTTATCTCTTCTTAAATCCAAATCAAATACACTCAAGACTTAGAAATCTAATAAATAAGAGATGGATCAATAATAAGAATGTTAGAGTTTATTGACATAATTTAGAGATAAAATAAAAGATTCCTCAATGAAGCCTCAAATTTATACTAACTTAGAATAAATCAAAAATTTGTAAAGGTCCGGATAATATGGAAAAAAAAATTAGAAAGTTGGATATTGCATTGCTCAAAGGAAGGGTAATATATGGGAAATTTATTACGAAGGATCTTAAATGTAAAAACTGTCATTTGTAATAATTTAGTGGTGGTGGATCATATGAACAGGAAGGTAATGAAATAAAGATTGGCAAGTGGATTGAATTAAATATAGACTTTTAATATTCTAAATAACTAATTTATAAATGTGTATGAGAATGGTAAGAAATTTGGCAAATGGGAAACTCAGTATAGAAAGAACAATGAATATGACTTCAAAAAATGTAAATAATATTATACAAAGTTGCCTAAGTGGTGGTGGTTCATATGATAAAGGAGTTGATGAAGCTAAAATTGGCATATGGATTGAATTAGAGGATAGAATGTAAAATTTTAACAAAGTAGTTTATAATGGTGAAGATATTAATGGTAAAAAATGGTAGATGGTATATTGAATATGAAGGAACATAAAAGTAATACATTTCATATAAAGTCGCAATAGCGGTGGTGAATCGTATGATGAAGGAATTAAGATTCAAAATGGATTGATTTGGATGATAATTGTGGTGCTAGATTCGGATAGTAATATTTAATTCATAAAGGTGAATATAAAAATGGGAAAAAAAACAGGCTTATGAGAAGAAATGAAAAAAAATAAAATAAATGAATATGACAAAGTAATCGAACTAAAAGTATTTGATTAATGAATTAACATAAATAAACACAATAAATAAAAAAAATTATTTACAGTTTTTTAATCTGTATTTTATTACTACTTTTGAATGTATTTTTTGTATCTTCTTTTTCTTTACAATAATTAGCTTATCTTATGGGATTTGAATATTCTTAATATTATCTAAAATAAGTATTGTGAAATTAGGTAAATTTTTTTTTTTTTAAATATTCAAGATATTTTCCTAGCTATTTAGATTATAATAAATCTTTTTATTATTTAACTACTTTTACTTAATTTGAGACTTTTATAATTAAAATATTCTTTGAGTAAAAATATCAAAAAAAATACTTAGTTTTTGTATCATCTCCTGTTAATAAATTTATTAGATCCTTTATATGTACCTATTAAAATATTATAAGAGATAAATACTATTTCCTGCCTTAAAGTTGTTGGGGTTGTTGGATGGCATGGGTCATGGGTAGTGTAATAATGATTAATAAAGCAATAAAAATAACGAAAATGGTAAATATTTTATTTTAATTAAAATTAAAAATAAATTAAAAAAATATATAAATTTAATATAAAATATTAATAAGGGAAAGGCTATTATGATTAAGAATGAATTAATTAAGGATATTGAGTTAATTTGCACAGAAACTTTTATACGTATATAAATATAAATAAATTTATTGGTAAAGAATAAATTATTTATAAAAGAAACTATAATAATGGTACTAAATATGGTGGAACATTTCATAGTTATTTTGAATATGTTTCAAGAAGATGTAAAAATTAAAATACTCCTAGAGGAGGAAATTAATTTAAATGGATGTTAGGATTTAGAAAAATGAGAATTTAGAATTGGTTTTAAAATTGGCATTTGGGATACTCAATTTAAAGAATATATAGATGACAATTACAAATTAATGTAGTATCTTTCATTATCAATCTATTTTTAGAGGCTTAGGATGTAATAACATTGATAGAAAAATGGAAAATGGATAGAAATTTATCAAAAATCGATGAGGTATAATTAAATAATAATTTTATTCATTCTAAAATTTCGAGTGCAAAATAATAAATGTTAGAAATTATAAAGAGGATCTTAAAATAGAAAATTAGATAATTATAGATCAATTAATTGAAAATTTTATGTAAAAGTATCAAATTTGATTATAGAGGAGAATGTAATTTATAATGAAAATGGATAATAATTAGAAGTTTGAAAAGAAGCAAAAGATTATAGGTAATAATCTATAATATATAATATTTTAAGCGCTTTATCAAGATATACATAATAAGGCAGATATTTAAATGGAAATAAAGAAGGATAATGGCAGATTAATTTAAATATATATTAAATTTAGATTATTATATATAGAAGAGAAGGAAACTATAATGATAGAGGATTAAAGTTTGGATAATGGATTGAAATTTATGATAAATTTTGGGAGTTAAATCTTAATATAAAGAAAAATTAAAAGTGGTAGATGGAATGCATTGTTTACAGCTCATCTGCAGAATAGAAATGGAATAAAGTTTAAAAAATGGATTGATTTGTATGAAAATAATTTAAATAACCCATTTATGTTGGTATATATTAAGATGGAATCAAAGTATGAGAATAAAAATAGATAAAATATATGCTTATTATTGAATTAGAAATATATATATATATAATTAATTATCATTTATATNATTCTTTGAGTAAAAATATCAAAAAAAATACTTAGTTTTTGTATCATCTCCTGTTAATAAATTTATTAGATCCTTTATATGTACCTATTAAAATATTATAAGAGATAAATACTATTTCCTGCCTTAAAGTTGTTGGGGTTGTTGGATGGCATGGGTCATGGGTAGTGTAATAATGATTAATAAAGCAATAAAAATAACGAAAATGGTAAATATTTTATTTTAATTAAAATTAAAAATAAATTAAAAAAATATATAAATTTAATATAAAATATTAATAAGGGAAAGGCTATTATGATTAAGAATGAATTAATTAAGGATATTGAGTTAATTTGCACAGAAACTTTTATACGTATATAAATATAAATAAATTTATTGGTAAAGAATAAATTATTTATAAAAGAAACTATAATAATGGTACTAAATATGGTGGAACATTTCATAGTTATTTTGAATATGTTTCAAGAAGATGTAAAAATTAAAATACTCCTAGAGGAGGAAATTAATTTAAATGGATGTTAGGATTTAGAAAAATGAGAATTTAGAATTGGTTTTAAAATTGGCATTTGGGATACTCAATTTAAAGAATATATAGATGACAATTACAAATTAATGTAGTATCTTTCATTATCAATCTATTTTTAGAGGCTTAGGATGTAATAACATTGATAGAAAAATGGAAAATGGATAGAAATTTATCAAAAATCGATGAGGTATAATTAAATAATAATTTTATTCATTCTAAAATTTCGAGTGCAAAATAATAAATGTTAGAAATTATAAAGAGGATCTTAAAATAGAAAATTAGATAATTATAGATCAATTAATTGAAAATTTTATGTAAAAGTATCAAATTTGATTATAGAGGAGAATGTAATTTATAATGAAAATGGATAATAATTAGAAGTTTGAAAAGAAGCAAAAGATTATAGGTAATAATCTATAATATATAATATTTTAAGCGCTTTATCAAGATATACATAATAAGGCAGATATTTAAATGGAAATAAAGAAGGATAATGGCAGATTAATTTAAATATATATTAAATTTAGATTATTATATATAGAAGAGAAGGAAACTATAATGATAGAGGATTAAAGTTTGGATAATGGATTGAAATTTATGATAAATTTTGGGAGTTAAATCTTAATATAAAGAAAAATTAAAAGTGGTAGATGGAATGCATTGTTTACAGCTCATCTGCAGAATAGAAATGGAATAAAGTTTAAAAAATGGATTGATTTGTATGAAAATAATTTAAATAACCCATTTATGTTGGTATATATTAAGATGGAATCAAAGTATGAGAATAAAAATAGATAAAATATATGCTTATTATTGAATTAGAAATATATATATATATAATTAATTATCATTTATATTTTATTTGAAGTGACCAATCTTAATAATTAAGGATATATTGATAGAATTTCAATAAAAATTAACTTAAGGATTAGTTATTGATATGAAAATCGTTGCTCAATAAATTTAAATTCTATTAAAGTTATTTAATCTTTCAATAATAAGTGGAAAAATTATACTTTTACTGTCTACCCCATAATAAATAATTTAACTTGCTTAATTTCTATTATATTTAAATAAGTCTTCTTATTAACTTACTCTGATTATAAAAATTCCCTTTAGTAAAAAGATACATTAGGCAAAGAAATTGTAAAATAAGTTTGTTTGGTTAAAATTGTTATTGTAATAATTTAAAAAAAAATATTATAAAGAGTATATTAGTAAATTTATTTTAGATAAAATCAACCTTCACCCTGAAATTATTTAATTATCTAATTATTTTTTATTATAATCAAAATTTACTCTATTTTTAGAATAATTATGATTGCAACCATTCTTTTTCCTTAGATATTAACAGCAAATTATTGTTCTATCATATTATTCAGAGATTAAGTTATTTATCTATTTGCTCTAAATCAAACATATAATATCATTTATATTCACAGTATAGTTTATTTTCATTAATCTCAATTTTCCTTTTTAATAATTCTAATATATGGGATTAGTGGTAAATGTATTAAATTAACAATTAATTTTTAAGTTCTAACAAAATTAAAACTTAATAATAAATTTGCCTAATTATGAGGAAATTGTAAATTTAACTTAGTTAATTTACAGTTAATAAAATATCAAAAGAGATAGATTAATTAAATATAATATTTCTTTAATGCAAATTCCTT